CCTGATCTCGTTAGCGGTGTCCCTGCTCGCTGCGGGGGGGTTGGACTAGATGAGCTCTGGGGGTCCCTTCCGACCCAAAACTTTCTATGATTCTGTGATTCTAAGATGCCAGGTCCCACTGGGCTGGATGGGCTGTGAGATGTGGAACTGCTGCTGGTAGACCAGGGTCTCCCAGCTCGGGGATGGTCTGCCTGCCTGACTCCTTCCACATCAGGACAAAGTTACAGAGCACTGGATCCAAACCAGTCCTCCTGCGTAGTCTGCCAGACAAATTCTCCTGGAAGAGTTTAGCAGGTTAAATGGTTTGGTCTTGCTGTTGGGACTGTTATTTGGACCCAGACTGTTACCTGCAAAGCTTGTTCAGCCTGAAGAAGAGAAGGCTGCGAGGGGACCTTATAAATGCCTACAAATATCTGAAGGGTGGGGGTCAGGAGGATGGGGCCAAGCTCTTTTCAGTGGTGCCCAGTGACAGGACAAGGGGCAATGGGCACAAACTGAGGCACAGGAAGTTCCGTCTGAACATGAGGAAGAACTTCTTCCCTCTGAGGGTGACGGAGCACTGGAACAGGCTGCCCAGGGAGGTTGTGGAGTCTCCTTCTTGTGTGGATATATTCAAGGCCCGCCTGGACAAGGTCCTGTACAGCCTGCTCTGGGTGACCCTGCTTCGGCAGGGGGGTTGGACTAGATGACCCACAGAGGTCCCTTCCAACCCCTACTATCCTGTGATATTCTGTGATATTCTGTGCAGGGAACATCTCCCTGTCTTTAAAAAGAAGAGAACACTCCCGTGTACTCATTCTCTCTCTGCTGGCTGTTTGCGAAGTACCGGCAGATCGGCAAGGTGACAAGAGTTAACGCCAGGGCAGGGCTCTGGGCAAAGTTCAGATGTGAGCGCAGGCCTGGGTTTTCCTTCTGCGCTGGTTTGGGGCAGTGGGTTCGCGGGGCCGGTGCCTGCAGCCGGCGTTTGCTAAGAAAAGCTGCACACAGGGTGCACCGGCAGCTGCTCAGTGGGGAGGAGGTGAGTCCTGGCTGCTGGCTGCCTCTCAGCCTGGCTCCTGTGAGCCCCCCGAACCTGCCTTCTCCATCCCTCTGCCCCTGTCCTTACACAGCAACCCTTCAGACGGTTTTCCTAGCCTGCACTGGCATTTCTTTTCCAATCCATCTCTCTGTATTCTGTGAACAAAGTAAAGAAAAAGTAGTTGATGGGTATTGGGACAAAATGTAATTTAAACGTTTTTTAGGTTCATAATGTGTAGCAGCTGTATCTCAGCTTGGTTGCTGTTGACAACTTCTCATGGCTGGGCAGGAATATTGATTCTGGGTATACTGGGATTTATTTTTCGTTAAAGCCCTCTGAGGGTGTGGAGGGGGAGGGGACACAGATCTTCTCTTACCTGCTGATAAGAGTTTCAGCCTCTCTGCCTCAGCCTGAAATTCTCAGGCACCTGGGGAGATGGACAAATTGCTGCTTCTTCCCCGGTGCTAGAGAAGTCACTGCGATAAAAGGGAAAAAAAACATTTTTTTTTCTTTCTGTGTGTGTGAGACATCTTTTAATTAATGTTTGGGGATTACCTTGGGATAAGTCCCGCTCCGTAAGCCCTCCAGACCCTGGACTGCAGCAGACAGTGGACATCACATCTCCCAGTTCTAGCTCAGAGCGACGGTGGCTCAGTTAATTCTGGCTTGTGAGTCTGCTTCCTCCGGCTGACAGCACCCAGCCTTGTGCTGCTGGAGGGCTGCAGCTTCGATTCCTGTCCCAAGGCTGTCAGCCAGCTGGGCACCCATCGCAAGGGAACACGGCCGAGACATCCTGTGTCTAGCCCACATCTGAGGAAGGTGGTTGCTGCCCCCAGTCGCTTCCTTGCAGAGAGAGAGTGCAGCTGAAGCAATGCTGAGCATCTCTGGGGCCTCCGAGGATTCCTTTGAAGCCATGGCTGGTGATTAAAGGAAAACTGTTCCTGTTCCCCCTCTGCTTGCCGTTTGACCTTGGGCAAGTCATTTAAATGTTCACAGTTGTTAAAAGGAGGTATCTTCAGTGACAGCTGAGGTCTAAGTGAGTGTGGAGGGGGAAGGTGAGGGATCCTGGAAGGAAAATAATCAGTGCTGACTGTGTGTAATTGGCAGCCTGTCAGCTCCTCAGCTCGGGGGTTGTGCCTCTCCTCTGCAGCAGCGAGAGGCGGGGGGGGGCGCCTGGCAGCTTTGTCCAGACCTCGCCACCACACCTCCAGCTTCACCCAGTCGTCTCTGTGTGGGTTATTTGGCTGATGGCAAAGGGGAAGAATGAGAAAGGGGAGAATGCAGAAGCTGTCCCAGCTGTACCTGAACTGACGCTTGTGCAGTGATGGAGGTCAAATGCCCGTGCTCTGGGAAGTCAGGGAACACTTGATTTGCACCGGGCGAGCGTTGGCCTGGAGATGTTCCCCGCAGGAGTCTCCTCTCCCCTGTAATCAAGGCAAAGAATCTAGAGGGGGACTGGGCTGCAAAACTGGATTTTTGCCTCGTCTCTGCTGATGGGCTCATTCTGTGCAGCAAAGCAAGGGAAACTCTGTACCAGCTAGCTGCTCGGGCATGGAGCGGGTGTACAGGCAGGCAGGGACGCGGTTACAGCTTCCCCACGGCCCGGGAGGGAGCAAGCAGAGATGAACTCCTCCGCCTGCGTGTCTCGCGTTCTGTTCAGCCTCCTTCATCCAAAGGACCCAAAGCACTTGGGGGCTGCGCTGTGCTGGAACGGGGGGCAGAAGCTTCTGTGCAGACTGGGAGCGCAGAGCGCAGTCCAGAGATGGGTCATAAGCTGAGGCACATTCAGGCCAGCGGGACCTGTGACGCCTTGTCCCCATGGAGAAACTCAGTTGTGCCTCGTTTAGGGTGAGAATTTAGACCATGTGAATCCTGAGAATTGGACTGCGGTTTGGTTTACTCCTAAATCGGTGTCTGTGCAGGAGCTGAATGTCTTGCTAACCCGTTCTACCTTTCCTAGTGTAACTACAGACCATTTTCCTGAGATGCTTTTAGGAAAGCAGCAGTGTGGTGGGCTAGCCTAGAAGCTGGTAACCTTGCAAGGTTTCTTCCATTTGTAGGCTGACATAGTGGCAGGCTTATAACAGGTTACGAAGAGGCATCTGCTTACTTTTGCCGTAGCTGCTTAGCCCCTGTCCTGATCTGATGGCCTCTCCCATCTAAAGAAGGCTGGAGAGAGGGAGCACGTTACAGGGCAAATAAATGACTCAGGCTAATGAGCAAGGTAATTGCTGTTCGCTGTTAGCTGAGGCTAAAGTGGGTCAGGTTTGTTTGTGAAACTCCGCAGAGGCACCATCTGTTCTCAGTGCCCCTTCTCGGGGGCTGGAGATGGGATTTGGGTGAAAGTGCTGCCCTGGGAGCCTGCGGAGGATGTCCCGGTCATCGGGCGGTGGCGTGGGTCTCTGGAGATGACCCTGTGTGACTGCAGGCAAGTGCCCGCAGCCCCGGTCCTCAGAGGGGACTCTTAATTGATTTCACTGGGAGAGGGGATCCTAAACCCTTTGTCTCCCTGCCACAGCTGCCCGTCTGTAAGAGGAGGCTGCACAGGACTCTGAGAGGTCATTAAACTTCCCATAGCCCGAAGGCAGGATTGGATTTTCCCAAACCACGTCTGACAGGTGCCTGTCTCACCTGTCACAAGCCCGTGGAGAGAAACCTGGCACCGATGCAGTCTGTGTCTTTTAAGCCTGCTGCTCTCCCAGATGTCCTCTGTTCATCCTCCCGTGCCCCCAAGCCTGTTGGGATGGGGACTGCCTCTTTCCGCAGTGATGTGTCCGTGTGGTACCTGGTTTTAGCCCTTTCCCCTGCCCTGGACCCCACTGTGTCTAATGAGCTCTCTCTTCTCTCAGGCCACAGCATGTGAACAGAAGGGGAAGCCTGGAGCGGGATCCCTGCCTGGACTCGACTTTGCTGGGGCTGCATCTTGCGCTCAGAGAAAGGAAAAGACGGTTCGTTCACCATTGCTAAAAATGGGAGGCAGCATCTGTCCCGCAGACCGGGAAGGGAAGCTCCAGACCTTGCCCGTGGGGCATCCCTGGGAGTGCCGCAGCCGGAGCGACGCAGCCCCGTGTCAGTGAGGGGTGCTGGGGCGGCATGGCTCAGAGAGCCTGGGCCAGCATGCTCCTCCACAGCCGCAGGACCCAGCTCCTCCTCGTCAACTCCCTGACGTTCGGCCTGGAGGTCTGCCTGGCTGCGGGGATAACCTACGTGCCTCCACTGCTGCTGGAAGTGGGCGTGGAGGAGAGGTTCATGACCATGGTTTTGGGTAGGCAGTTTGTTTTTCTTGTCTTTGAGGTGCTCGTTTCCCCTTCGAGTCTGGAGGGCAGGGACAAATAAGGGCATGGAGGCTTGTCTCCGTGGGGTGGTTGCAGGGCTGCTGTTGCATCAAGGGCAGCCTTGTGTCTGGAGGAGTGGGCTGTGACCCAGCAAAGCTCACTGATGCTTGAAACATCACAGGCTTTTATTACAGTGCCTACACACCAGTGTTCTCCAGATCTGTCCCCCTAACGTGACCTGCTCTTCTCCTCCAGGGATAGGACCAGTCCTCGGCTTGGTTTTTGTCCCGCTGATCGGATCCGCCAGCGACCACTGGCACAGCAGCTATGGCCGAAGGCGTCCTTTCATCTGGGTGCTTTGCCTGGGCGTCCTGCTGAGCCTCTTCGTCATCCCGCATGCCGGCAGCCTGGCCAGCCTGTTCGCCCTCGACACTCGCCCGCTGGAGATCGCCTTCCTCATCCTGGGCGTCGGGTTGCTGGATTTCTGCGGCCAGGTCTGCTTCACTCCGCTGGAAGCCCTGCTCTCCGACCTCTTCCAGGAGCCGGACAACTGCCGCCAGGCCTTCTCCATGTACGCCTTCATGATCAGCGGGGGCTGCATGGCCTGCCCCCTGCCAGCCATTGACTGGGGTGGCAGCTTTCTGGCACCATACTTGGGAGGGCAAGAGACCTGCATCTTCAGCCTCCTTGCCGTCATCTTCCTCGGCTGTGTGCTGGCCACGCTCTTTGTGACAGAGGAGGCAGCCACCCAGGCAGATGTTCTGGATGGTCCGGCGCTGAAGGATGCTCCCCCTAAGCCCTCAGCTCCTGCCTGCTGCTCGTGCCAGCTCTCCTGGTGCTCGTGCCTGCTGCAGGCCAGGCACGTGATGCAGGCCCTGAGAAACCTCTGCACGCTGGTGCCGCGGCTCCACAGCCTCTACTGCCGCATCCCCAAGGTCATCCGGCGCCTGTTCGTGGCCGAGCTCTGCAGCTGGATGGCACTCATGACGTTCATGCTGTTCTACACAGACTTTGTTGGGGAAGGGCTGTACCACGGCGTCCCCAGAGCCAAGCCGGGCACGGATGCCAGACGCCACTACGATGAAGGTGAGAAGCGAACCGGCTGCTCTGAGGCTGCAGCACCTGCTCCCTACGAGAGGAGCATATAGTGGGAGCTAGGAATGGGCTCGGCTCTGCTTGTAATGCAAAAAAATGTTACAGGAAAATAGACTTTCTGCAGGTGGATCAGGAAAAAGCATTCCTCCGTGACCCCCAGAGCATTGCACAGTGGGCCAGATAGGGAAATGCCTCTTTCCCCTCCGAGCTAGTGAGCACAGAACTAGATCTGGCAGTGCAGCCCTGTCCTGGGGCTGAATCGTGAAGTGGCAGAATGGTCTGGCAGGTTGCACGCCGAACAGGACCTGTCCGGCTCTGTCTGCAGACGGTGGTTGCCACTGCCAGGTCCTTTCACTTCCTTCCCTTCTAGATGAGGGGTGCTGGTGCTCCCCAGCCCTCGGAGAGCAGGGGCTGGAAAGCCAGGACGTGCTTAGTAGCAGCAAGGTGGGCTTTGCTGCGTCTTCCTTCTGTGCTGCTGTGAGATTCCCATCTCGCATCTGTACCTGGGGAGCCCTCGAGAGCTGCCCCAGCTCACACTCCTCTCTCCGGAGCTTTCTGATAGTGTTCACCACCGCAGTCAGTAGCTGCCACGTCCACTTGGTGCGGTACTGCTCACTGCAGCACGTTGCCTGCTGTTGTCACCTGCTGTCCTGTTTTGCCTGCTGTGTTGTGCCAGAGTCTTGACTCGCTGCCCAGCCCTGCTTTTCTTCTTCCTGATCTAAGCCTTTTATTCTTGGAGGCACCTGCCTGGCCCTCCTCTCCAAGCTGTGTATCTTTCCCTCTGAGTTTTCCGTTCGCTGCCTCCAGGAGCTCTGCAGTACACTGCCTCTTTGTGCTGAGTGTCTGTTTAACTTACAGGGAGCTTAATTATTGTTTAACACTTGCACTGTATAGCTGCCCGCAGGTCAGGACTCCATTGTGCTAGCTGTCATAGAAACATGTGTTGAGTAATGATCCTTGCTTCAAAGAGTTAATGGTTTTAATTCCCTGAAATCTGATCGATCTTTGCAAAGGGTAAGGTCCGGATTGCTACCGGATACTGCAGTTGTTCAGTGAATGTTGTGTACTTTACCTTGGCTTAAGCACAATTCCTTATTCCTTTTGTTCTGTTGCTGGTTTTGGCATCAGATAACTACAGATCCTGGTTCACGAGCAGGTGACAGATCCTGGGTCAAGAGTAGGAAGGTGCGAACAACGGCTTCCAAAGACAAGAATGGCATTTGGATTCCTATCCCCCATTGCCCTTCTGGTTAGACTGGGGTGCCCAGGAGCACGAGTAGGCAGTACTGGCTGCTGGGAGAGGGTGGGTGCTGGGAGGCAGCTGGGGCTGTGTTCGATGGTGCTGCTCTGCTCCTCGACCCAGCCACGTGTGGTAGTCAGGGCTGTTGGCGGCTTTGCCACGCTCTGCCTGCACTGGGCACCGAAGGAGAGCAAAGGAGACCCCGAGGTGCTTGGCCAGGTGAAGCCTGGTCACCAGGTCAGGGCAGCATCTGTCACCACCTCTGCTTACCCACAGGTGTCCGGATGGGTAGTTTGGGTCTCTTCCTGCAATGTGTCACGTCCATCTTCTTCTCGACAATCATGGACCGGATGGTGAAGCAGTTTGGGACGCGAGTGGTCTACCTGGCCAGCGTGGTGTTCTTCCCCGTGGCTGCCTTCGTCATGTGCCTTTCCCACAGCGTCATCGTTGTCACCATCTCGGCTGCTCTGACGGGCTTCACCTTCTCCGCACTCCAGATCCTGCCGTACACCCTGGCATCGCTGTACCATCATGAGAAACAGGTAGGGATCTGCTCCAGAGGACAGTGTCCCAGGTAGCTGTGAGGACAGCTTGGCCAGCCTCTTTTGCCGCTTCCAGGTGGCACAGTCGGTTCGGCCCGTGGCAGAGAAACACAAGCCTGCATGCAAAGGTTTTCCACATGTGCCTCTTGTCTCCAGGCTGTGTCTTGTCTGAACATTGATCTGAAAAGGAGGAGATAAGAGAGGTGAGCATCTCCTTCCTTAGGCGTCCCCTGCTCGCAACAAGCATTATGCAATTTTAAAAAGTGGGGAGGGATGAGATGAGAGAGATCAGCTAGGACTGGTGTATCACAAGGGATGTTCTGTGTATTTTTAGGGAATCTGGTGCAGGTTAGTTACACCTGTGTGCATTCTGCAGCCAAGTCACATCTGCGGCACTGCCGTCCTGAGGTGCTAAAAATACTCAAGATTTTTCAGCCTTGCTTTCCAGTTTTTGTCCATAGCATGAGGAGCAGTAAGATGAAAACTGAGGTTCTTCCTGTTCCCCTAGCTCCAAGAAAAATAAATGTTGTGAAACTTTTGACACCAACATAAGAGTTAGTAATCCTGTCCCACAGATGTTATCCTTGTGGAGAAGTCCTGGGAGGTTCCTGAGTTGCACGCTGGATTAATAGGAGTTTCTCTTGTGCTGCAAATGCAAAATTAATTTGTGGTTAGAGAGCAGCTCTTTCATCGCGATGGCAGGCGGTTCACTGTGCAGTGAAATAAGTAGGAGTTTTTACCACAGGCATCCAGATGTTCACATTGAACAAATACTTCTGACCAGCCCATCCCAATTTGCACCAGGCACCCTGTCAAAATAGGGCATGCGGGAGCGTTCTGCTTTGCAAAATCTTCGGTTTGACTGGGATCTCCCATGGACATCGTATCAACAGAATGAAAACCAAACGCCGCAGGCGGGGAATGCGCAGGCCACATGCCCCACTCTCTGCCAAAGGCTTGACGGGGAAACACTCTTTAATACAATGAGGTGGGGTATGGCTGGGCTTTTTCTCTCTGTTGCCCTAATTTGAAAGTTCCTGCTTCCGTTACCAGCTACTTTGCAGCAGACCGCAGGGAGACCCCACAAGAAGCAGTCGCTAAAACGCTTTTTGCGGAAAATCCTCCATCCTCCCCGTTTCTCTTCTCCTTTTTTTTTCTTACTGTTGAAATCTGTCATCGTTTTTGCTTGCCTTCCCTCAT